TGATCAGGGGGTCACAGGTTCAAACCCCGCTGCAGTCAGCATTTCGTTGTGTCCCTGAGACACTTCACCCCAAATTGCTCCTGTGGGGATTGCCCACAGTATTGAGTATGTAAGTCGCTTTGGATAAAAGCATCTAACAAGTGACATGTAATGTAATATTTGTTTGTGGGTATAAGCCCTGACAGCAATATGACCTGTTCATGAATGTTGGCTTTCACATTAAAGACTGGTTATGCGGTCTTCACATTCATCCCTGCATGTTCTTTCATACCGTCTGTCTGAATATACCTGGATTCACTCTGTCCAAAACACTATTCTTCAGCTCCTCTCTCTTTAAGCTCTAGGAAAAGCTCAGTCTGAGCTGATTGATTTAGTAGACAAATTGCAGATGGGGCGCTTTATTTTAATAAGCACGTGTGTGACATAGTTAGGGAAAAAGATCTGAATGGATCAGTGAATGAAACACCTTTCTCATCGAGGCAGCCAACAAAAACTGACTGGGTCTCAAAGGTTGTGGGTTGGTATAAATACCATAGCCCAACACAAGCACTGAAAACGTTTGTTTCCCATGATAAGTGCTCTTTCAAAGCTAACGGCATATTTAGCTGTCAAGAAAGGGACCAGGGTTCAACTAAATGATATCCTGTTGGGACATGATGCTACTTTATTGATGATTCATCAATACATCTAAAAAACTATTGAACAAAGAAATTATAATTACCAGAGACACGTCCCAGACCTGACGAATGGAATTCAGCTACAATAATATAAGTATAATATTTTTTGTTCATTTTCTTATGTTTATACTTTCTTCCATCTTTAAAGATTGGAATGCCTTTACACTTTGCTGCTGCAAACATTTTTTTTCCCAAATTGGTAAAGTGCCTATCTATCTTCAATTTTTTTTTACCTTATTACAGAATGTATCCAAACTAAAACAGTCTCTCTCCCAATGATGGAATGGCAGTTGTGCGAGTGGTGACATCAGCACTGGCAGCCCATGAAGAATACCAGGAATTCTGGGAAAGTGAGTGTGAGGCAGAACAAGCTGACCTGTGTTAGTGTCTCCTGGGCGGAGCCAGAGCAGACACAAATCTCCCTTATATGGTTGTCTAATAATAGCATTTTGGGAATTTACAGTGCGGTATAGAACATTAGTCACCACTTCTGACTGATCATGTGTCTGAGTGTGATATAATGAGCTGATGAATGAATGAAACGGGGACTCAAATGGGTCATTATTTCCTGCCATTTTTATTCCATGTGAGGCTGGAAATGGTCATTTAATGCCCCCTGACCGGAGTGTTTCCTCCTAAAGTACGCTGCGCCCATTTCTGAGGCAACGAGGAAACACTCACCAGTGCTATAATATCTATTCTACATGCACTACCTGTGTGTTGCACGTTGTAGCATTCCTGGGATGATAACAGCCGTATCATCCCTGAACAGTGGCTTTCAGAAATAGCATTAATGTCTCCTTATCTCAGAGGAGTCCCATTCATCCTTATCAGCGTGCTGCCATCGGCTTTCCCTTCAAAGTACAGGCTCTGTGTGCCGTGATAAAACAGAGCAGGAAAAATAAAACAACCTCCATTGTAGTAACAAATAACAAGTGAGATAAAAACCCCTGAGCAATGTCAAGGTCATTTCCTGCTGAGGAAACAAATTGGAGGGAAGAGTGTGGGACCCTCCCAGCAGGACGAACTGAAATCTCTGTGTGTGTGTGTTCATTCACTATCTCTGGGGAAATGATCTACCACAGCATCAGTGTGCACTCGGGTTTTTAATAACCAAGCACACAAAGTGGACTTCTAAAATGGTGGTGTCCAAAATAGCGTCTTCATTGGCCACGGAAGTTGTTGGATTAGGACCAAATCGGTGTTCTAACCCTCTTGTCACATGGGAATGTATACGCTACAAAACAATCTTGCACCAAAATATCATCAAACCAGTAACAGATGAACAGAAATGGAAAAAGTACTCAGATCTTGTACTTCACTAAAAGTAGAAGTACCAGAGTGTAGGAATACTCTGTTAGAATAAAAGTCCTGCATTCAAAATGTTCCTCAAGTAAAAGTAGAAAAGTATTCTCATCAAAATATAGTGAAAGTAGCGACAGTAAAAGTAGTCATTGTGCAGATTGGTCCATTTCAGAATAATATATATGATATGTTTTATAAAGATTGATCATGAAAGTGTTCTCAAAGCTGGTAAAGGTGCAGCTAGTTTGAATGGCTTTGTATACTGCAGGGTAGCTGGTGAATTCCAGGGTGGCATGGGAGGGCGACAGTACGTGGTATTTTATACTGTATATAACCTATTTATTGTTCAATCATGCCCTAACACGAGTGTTCTTAATGCACAAGAGAAACAAGATGTTCAGACAAACAAACTAAAATATAGTATAAAACAGCAGAAAATACTCATGATACCCTAGAATTCTGTTTACTGTGAGTACAGTAAAAGTACTTAGTTATAATTAAGTACACACATGACATCGCCCATCTCTTCAGAGAGCTAAAGGTGAACTGTGCAGCAACACATTTCAATACATATTTCTCAATATAAGAGCTGCTAGATTGAGCTGCTGTAATGGGATATGTATACAAAGAGAATAAGAACATCCCATGTGGTCCAGCTGGAGTTTCATCTGCCTCCTGATCCCTGCCTCTGGCCCTCTTTCTGATACTTCATCTTTATTCCTCACATACATTTCTTCTTCTTCACTAATGTCTTCATCTCCTCCTCTTCCTCCTGCTCTCTTCATCTCTCTCCTCCTCTTCCTCCTGCTCTGACCCTCTTGGTCTCTTCATCTCCTCCTCTTCCTCCTGCTCTGACCCTCTTGGTCTCTTCATCTCCTCCTCTTCCTCCTGCTCTGACCCTCCTGGTCTCTTCATCTCCTCTTCTTACTCCTGCTCTGACCCTCCTGGTCTCTTCATCTCCTCCTCTTACTCCTGCTCTGACCCTCCTGATCTCTTCATCTCCTCCTCTTCCTCCTGCTCTGACCCTCCTGATCTCTTCATCTCCTCCTCTTCCTCCTGCTCTGACCCTCCTGATCTCTTCATCTCCTCCTCTTACTCCTGCTCTGACCCTCCTGATCTCTTCATCTCCCTCCTGCTCTGACCCTCCTGATCTCTTCATCTCCTCCTCTTCCTCCTGCTCTGACCCTCCTGGTCTCTTCATCTCCTCCTTGCTTCCTCCTGCTCTGACCCTCCTGGTCTCTTCATCTCCTCCTCTTCCTCCAGCTCTGACCCTCCTGGTCTCTTCATCTCTCTCCTCCTCTTCCTCCTGCTCTGACCCTCCTGCTCTCTTCATCTCTCTCCTCTTCCTCCTGCTCTGACCCTCCTGCTCTCTTCATCTCTCTCCTCTTCCTCCTGCTCTGACCCTCCTGGTCTCTTCATCTCCTCCTCTTCCTCCTGCTCTGACCCTCCTGGTCTCTTCATCTCCTCCTTGCTTCCTCCTGCTCTGACCCTCCTGGTCTCTTCATCTCCTCCTCTTCCTCCTGCTCTGACCCTCCTGGTCTCTTCATCTCCTCCTCTTCCTCCTGCTCTGACCCTCCTGGTCTCTTCAGTGAACTCTCTTTTCCTTTTCCTCTCTCTGTTCATCCTGATCACTTCTCAGATATGTCTTTGTGTTGTTGTTGAATCACTCCTATACTCTGGCCTGAAAGAGTCTACTTGTGAAAAGCACTGGTACAAATGCTTGTATAACTTTACATGTTAGGGCCATGTAGTTGATAAGTAGCATCTAAATATAAAATCAGAAAGTATTTATCAAACGCACACAGGCAGCTGTGTTTAGATCCAGTGTGACGGTAAAGGATGTATCCTGGTTTAATTTATCCGGCCTCATTGCTATGATGTGTAGTTTACATGGATTTAATAGTACCGCATAGTTTAGCAAATAAAGTGATGGATCTCCCAGCTAGCGCTGTCTGCGTAGTATTTTGTAATGTAATGCCCCAAACAGCGACCGTCTGTTAAACGCTATCGATTCAAACAGCAGCGTTTTATTAATATTTAGTTTCAAGCTCTCGTCCTTAGTAAAAACAAAACTAGTGGAAGGGGAAATGCTCCCAGGGGAAGCTGATCCACCTTCAGGTGCTGGGACAGCTCGCTCCCTCTCTGCAGCTGCGTGAGCCGCGGTCTGTGAACGCCGCTCCGCAGTTTAATGCAGGGCCGTAGCTGCGTTTTTAACGGGCCTAAGATGATATTTAAAATGATTCACTTTTAATTAATGAACTGCTTGTTTCGTTGCTTGAGAAGCTTGTGGACATAGTGTAGGTTTGTTGCTACAAGTACAGTTTTAGGGACACAAAAGTTAGGGGGGCAGCTGGGGGGGAAAGGCTCTACAGTGGGGGGGGCAGCTGCCTGCTGTAGTGTAACATGAACATACTCAAATGTACCTCAAATGTCTACTTAAGTGCAGTACTTGAGTAAATCTACTTGGTTACTTTACACCACTGCAGAAATATCATCCTTTCATTACGGTAAACAGGTAAACACATGTCATCATGATTCTCAATTTCCCTCTTTTTGAGTGTATGAATTGTATGTTGTACTGTGTATGGCGAGTGTTATTGTATCTCATTTGCCAGTGCCAAAGACACATTTCCATTATATGTAAATTGAATGGAGAATAAAGTATTCTGAATCCATTTCATTCCATGTATAGTTTTTGTTATGTGGATAGTGTATAATGTTATTGTACACACGAGATCTATTGCATGTCTTTCCATCACGGGATCTCTCTGTTGTCAGGGTCAAAGACAGGGACACATTTTACAGGGACAAAGCTGATGTTTCCCGTTTCCATTTATCATTTCCTAACAAAGTAGCTTTTGGCCTCAACATAGCAGATCAGAAAATAGTTTCTGGTTTGCGTTATCAAGTGTCATATGCATTTTGGAAGGCACTGACACGTGTCATGGTGATAAGATGTTAAATCATCAATGAAAAAAAGAGGTTTAAGAGAGACTCAAAAAAGAATAAAAGGCAAACTTTCAAAATGTATAACATTTTACTATTTTATGTCTTACAGTCATGGTTTTCATTTAAGATAAAAAGAAATAATCATAAAAATGACAAAGTCAGACCTTTGGCTTAACTGATGTTATTCTCAGGAGTCTTGATTTAAAGGTGACCAACAATGCACCGGGTTGACGACTGCTGCTTCTGTCGCTCTCTGAGCAGTCTTTACTACTGCGGAGCCTTCAGGGCCACAGAGTCACTGTGAGTGACCCCGCAGAGTGAGTGACCCGCAGAGTCACTGTGATGGGCCCCCAGCGTCACTGTGATGGGCCCCGCAGCGTGGCGCTCAGCTCCTGCAGCTCGGTGAGGACCTGCTCCAGAGCAGCGACTCCGTCCAGCAGCTCCCCGTGGAGCTGACCTGTGGCCACATCTGTGTGCATTTGCTGGAAAACAGTAACGCAGAGGAAGAGGATCAGATAAGGAGGTCTCATTTCATAAGACAAATACATAATAATAATGTGTTCAATATACACTTAGCTGCTAAGTCATATCTAGGTGTCTTATTTGGTTGAAAATTAAGAAGCATCTGCAGACTTAGCAGACATAGAATTCACCACTAAATACAAATCAAATTGTATACAAAAAAAATGTTTAAGTATCAAAGGAATAGCGACTACTGTGTGTCTTTTTTCAAATAAACTATTGATTTATTTGACATTGAGAGCAAAATATTAATAATCTTTTGTTAATAGTTATAAAAAACACAGCATGGTTATGTTTCTATGATCATAAGATTATTTTATCATTGTAAAATAATTTGTAGCATTCATAATGTATACAGTTTTCATAATATCAACACTAGGATGAGCTCTTAACATAAGTATCAACGCATAAAATAATATATGGCCGTTACTAGGGGTGTAACGGTATCCGTATTCGTCCCGTACCGTCACGGTTCGGACGTCACAGTTCGGCACATGCAGTCACACGGCGAATACGCCTTTTTTTACGAGTGGGAAAAAAGTCTGTCACTCAGGGCAGTATTACACTATATATAATCCAGGGGGCGGTATTGCGCCTAAAAGCCAGCCGCCCGTAAATAACAAATGAAGAACAAGAACAAAACACAACAAAACGAACACAATACATGAAGAAGAAAAGTTAGTAGCTATGGCGAGTTGACTCAACACACAGGAGCTAGAAGACCCACCTGCTTCTTTTAAATCAGGTGTGTGGGAACATTTCGGGTTCCCTGTGGACTACAACAATGATGGGGTGCGAGTTGTGGATCGGACGAGGACGGTGTGTCGGCGTTGTTCGACAGTGATGCGGTATGCTAGTGGTAACACGTCAAACATGCTCAATCACATCCGAGTCAGTCTCAGTCCCCAGCGAGAGGGTTTTCTCGACGGCAGGTGACATAGTTACCACCAACAGATCTGCCCTCACTACTGACAACGCAGACAAACTCATCTTTTTGAAGAAAAACTTGAAAATAGAGTAAAGCTTGAGTACCTTTATTTAGGCATAATGGCCTCACACACTCACAAGTTAATTACACATGTTAGACATTGCTCATAAAGGTACAGATTTTATTTTGTTATATATTTATCATTGTATTTATTTTATATTTTGACATCAGGAGATGTTATACAGTTCTGTATTGCCTTTTATTGATTGTGATTGAAACACTTTCTTATTATTTATTTTAATATTTTCAAGACATTCTTTGTAGTTGTACAGCTTATTTAACCTTTTTGTTTGACATCAGTCATTATAAATAATATGGCCATCTGTGTGTTACTGTTTGTGGTTTGTTTTTAACTGTGTAATACAGTTAATGATTCCAAATGTTAGAGTTCCTTATGTTCATACCAAAACTTGCACTACTGTTAAAAAAAAATGCATTTGGGACTTTTTTTTGCTTTTCCTTGTTGTACCGAACCCGTACCGAACCGTGACCCCCAAACCGAGGTATGAACCGAACCGTGACTTCTGTGAACCGTTACACCCCTAGCCGTTACCAATCGAGCAAGGTGCCACCCTTCAGGATGGATTCAAACCCAGGTAAGAACACAGCCATGGTACAATGCTGAATATGATTCTTGCCAATCACTGCTATACTTTAAAGCAAAGCGGAACCATCAGCATCATGGAAAGTGGAGGCAGTGGACACTGATTGGTGGACTGTACCTTAGCTTTGGTGGCCAGACTCTTGAGGCTGAGGCGGGTGGAGGACAATATCTGAAGAGCTTCTGCTGGATTACTCTTCTTCTTACTGCAACTAATGGTCACTGAAAACAAAGAGACAAGTCAGATAAGTGGTTTTTATGTGTTTTGTCAACTCAGTGCATTTCACATTTTTGTATATTTATACAGAACTAGTTTGGTGTCTGTTTTAAACGAGCCTGTACACCGCGTGTTTGACCTGTTGTGTTCTACTTGCAGCTTCTTCTTTCCTGACTACTCTCTCATGTTGGATTCAGCTCCATGCTCATTCTGCTGTACTGAATATTCCTTGGGATTGTGGAGAGTAACTAAGCTGGAATCAGAGACCAGTGTTGTAGTCAAGTCACCAATTCTCAAGTCTGAGTCGCTCGAGTCCCCACTCTTCGAGTCTGAATCCAAGTCTGAGTCACCTAGGAACAGTCAGAGTCGAGTCCAAGTCATCATTACCTGTGCTCGAGTCCGAGTCACCTAAGAGGAGTCTGAGTCGAGTCATCATTGCTTGTGTTTGAGTCCAGTCAAGTCCGAGTTATCATGTATTAATGAGTGGATATATTTGTTTATATATGTGTATATGTAGCTGTTGGTTTGGTTTTATCAATCAATATTTGTTATTTTCTACATTTCTTTTATCCTTTTATTTTCTGCATTGCTTTTATTCTGTCTATGTTATACTAATTTGTCTATATAACTGTTAGAGTTTATTGAAGGATAAACGTGTTTTCATAATATGTTGTCATTTTATGTTGTAAAGAGACCATAGTCAGAAAAGAGGAACAGAGAATAGTCTGTTCCCCTTTTCTGTGGACCATACACACACACACACACACATGATTGCGAGTCACAAGACAATTGACAAATTGTCAATTGCCATTGACAAATAAAGCCGTTGGTTACATACACTTCCTCATGCATGATTTGTAACTGTATTTTTGTAATAAAGAGACTGCACTGAGAGAAGAGGAGCAGAGTTGGTTTTGGAGTTGACATGACCTGTCACTCGCTGATTCTCCTTGCAGCAAGTAAACTTGAAACTCGAGTACTGTTATCTTTGTTCACTGGGTTTTGGTATATTTGAACCGAGCTGGGGTTTACTCTTACAAAGTAATATAGAAATACCCAACATTAATTGGTCCTTCGGAGCCGGAATCCAACACATCGTGACGGGAAGGAGGAGGGAAAAGACACGCCGCAAGTCTGTCGACAGCCGGGATCATCAGCCGACCCCGAGAAAGACCCGGGACGCAGAATTCGTGGCCGGGCCGGTGCTTATATGTCCAACCTCCCTCATCCTCGGCACGATTGACGGAATCCAACCGGACCAGTGACCACAGATAACGGGTAAGATAAAAGTTGATATACATGGTTTCTCCACCATTTAAGGAGGTAGAGAAAGGCTTCTCCGCCATTTAAGGAGGATTGACGTGTCTTTGGGTACACTTATGAGAAAGGTTTCTCCACCATTTAAGGAGGTAGAAATTGACGTGCCTTTGGGTACACTTATGAGTGATTGAGTGAAAGTAGTGTGTAAAAGTGTCACCAGGTGGAATCAGCGCACAGAGTGGAAACCTAACGGTGATAACAAAAACTCTGTGGTCTGTTGAAGTACACTAGTGGTGAATTAGGAATTAGGTTCTGACCGGCACGTTGTCCAGTAGGAACACAAAGCTAGAATAATGGGGTCCAATGGGAGTAAGCCTGCCGCTACAGGGGACATGAGATATATGGAAATATATAGTCATGGCAGCACCAGTTATTGTAGCAAATGGTATAAACTGTACGGCTTCCGAGGAAAGTTGGAGAAAACAGCAGTAAGAGAATTAAGCGACAAATTGAGAGCAGAAACAGCTGGAACAACACAAGGCAAGAAAAGAAAGAAGTTAGAAGCTCAACTGCGAGTCGCAGCTTTATGGGCTGAACAAGCCCATAAAAGGAGCAGGCAGAGGCAGAGGAGGAGGCAGAAACGCAGAAGGCAAATTCCTCTGCTACAGGTGCGGAAAGGAGGGGCACATGGCGAGGGACTGTGAGGAACAGATGTCACAGATAAAAGAAGGGGGACAAAAGGGACAGTACAAAGACGAAAGACATGGCCCCCCCCCTTCACATAACCTACATAGTTATGACAACTGACTAGACGTAGAAAAGGAAGAAGAGGACGTCCACACACATCACATTGACCTTTCTGAAGTATTACTGAATCTGTCAGACAACAGTATTAAACCTACCAGAACAATCGAAATCAATGGGGAAAAATTAGAATTTTTATGTGACAGCGGTGCAGACTCATCAGTAGTGAACAAAGAGTTCCAAAGAATGTGGCCACCAACTGGCACTATGTTTGTAAAATCAGCAAATGGACACATAAATCAGAGGTCGATTTCAAAGCCACTTTTTATGGAAGATAGAAGGTCAGGCCTCCAGGCATCCCTCAAATTTGTGTTCATCTCAAACTGCCCTGTCAATTTGCTAGGGAGAGACGGCATGGAAATGTTAAAAATCAGTGTAGTACCAGTCAAAGGGGGAATGCGAGCAGTAGGGCCCGGAGAAAAGGTGGAAGACCAGGTCTTCCTTCAAAAATCCATAAACACCCCCAACTACTACTGGTCACTAGACATGCCACAACCTGACGTGACAAACACAGGTGAACACCTGTTAACACTATTCACCCCACAACATGGCCAAGAAGTAATGAAACCTGACGCATTGCACGTTACACTAAAGTACAAGAACACCCCTGGCCCAGACAAAGACTATGATGTGCTCGTGCATCGACTGACACCACAGAGGGTAGTGTTCCACTCGATGTATGCAAACCAACACGGGGATGTTGTAATTGACGCTAGGGTCCCATCAACCACTGCCTTGATAATGGAACCAGGTTCCACGCCACACATATCAGTAGCTAAGGGCCCAGGGACTTCATGGAGAGACTTAGGTTTATTAGTGGCTAGAGGTAACAGGATAACAAAATGGACAGATGACAAAAACGGTTGGCAAACTGGAGGCGGGTTAAAGCGCAAAACTCTAGGGTTTACTCTAGTGATGACACCACGCGCCCACCTAGACGACCCTGAACAACAATGATGTATGCTAAGTGAAGAGGCCTTAGAGGTCCTGAAAACGGTGCCGCCATGCGTATGGTCACAAGGAAAATGTGATGTAGGTCGCATGGTGAACGCAAAACCTGTACACGTTAGACCAAAAACTAACTACAGACCTAACATAAGACAATACCCCTTAAAAGAGGATGCAAAAGTTGGCATCAAACCTGTAATTGAAGAAATGCTAAAAGCAGGGATCCTGCGTGAGTGCCCTGATGCATCATGCAATACCCCCATCTTCCCAGTAAAAAAGGCTGATGGGCAGTCATGGAGAATGATTCAAGACTTAAGAGCAGTAAATGATGCTGTACAAAGCACAGCCCCAACAGTACCAGATCCACACACGTTAATGAACGGCCTTAAGCCAAATATGGCATGGTTCTCAGTGATAGACTTGAGCAATGCCTTTTTCTCCATTCCTGTAGAAAAAGACTCACAAGGATGGTTTGGGTTCACACATGAAGGAACAAAATACACATACACCAGATTACCTCAGGGGTATGTGGATAGCCCAACAATCTTTTCACAAGAAATAGCAAATTGTTTGGCTACATTACAGATACCTGACACATCGCAGATTTTGGTATATGTAGATGATATTCTTGTTGCGTCACCCACACAGGAAGAAAGCACAAAAGTCACACTACAAGTATTGACACATTTGGCCAAAACAGGAAACAAGGTTTCAAGACAGAAACTTCAGTTTGTGAAAGAGGAAGTGATCTTTTTAGGCCACAATTTAAACCGAGAAGGGAGACGCATACACTCAGAGAGGAAACAGACGGTGTTAAACGCACCAAAGCCAACAACAAAAAAACAAATGATGCAATTCCTTGGGCTGACTAACTATTGCAGAGCATGGATTCCAGACTACGCAGGAATGACTCAGCCCCTACTAGATTGCATATACTCAGACAATGACATGAAAATGTCCGGCAAGATAGAATGGACACAAGAGGCAGAAGCTGCATTTGAAAGGACTAAACAGTGTCTCGTAGGGTCATCAGTGTTAGCATTACCAGACTATGAAAAACCATTTGTACAAACAGTTGACTGCAAAAAAGGGTTTATGACATCAGTATTGGCACAAAAACACGGCACAAAACTAAGGCCTGTCGCTTACTACTCTAAAAGGTTAGACCCAGTAGCACAAGCATTACCAGTATGCGTACAAGCAGTATGTGCGGCAGCAATGGCGGTACATTGTACAGCAGAAATAGTTTTGTTCCACCCACTCACACTGATGGTTCCACACGCAGTCACCATGTTGTTACATGACACCAAAATGGCTTTCTTATCACCTGCACATTATTTGGCACTGACAGCTACACTAATGTCACAACCACACATTGTGATAAAAAGATGTAATATCTTAAATCCAGCCACATTAATACCTACAGCAGAAGATGGAGAACCACACTGTTGTAAAGAAGAGACTGACAGAACATGCAAACCAAGACCAGATTTGAAAGACATACAACTACTCAGTGGCGAAACATGGTTTGTGGATGGGTCCTGTTCTAAATCTATAACAGGCCAAAATCAAACAGGGTTTGCAGTTGTATCACACTCACAGGTCATAAAAGCAGGCCGACTCCCCCACACATATTCTGCACAAGCAGCGGAATTAGTAGCTCTTACAGAAGCATGCAAAGCGGGGGTTGGAAAAGATGTGACTATGTGGACAGACAGCCAGTATGCGCACTCAACAGTACATATATTTGCAGCCCAATGGGCCCGCAGGGGCATGAAAACATCAACAGGAAAACCAGTCACCCATGCACAGCTGCTGACTGATCTTTTAAAAGCGGTGTTGTTGCCGAAAAGCATTGCTATATGCAAATGCGCTGCGCACACCAGTGGGAAGGATGCAGTAACACTTGGCAATGCACACGCGGATAAGGTAGCGAAGCTAGCAGCTATGGGCGAATATGGGTTCCATATCCTCTTGCAGAAGGGGGAAAGTGTTTCACAACCAATACCTCTTGTGATATTAAGGGATATGCAGAACAACGCACCCGACAGAGAAAAGAAGAAATGGTTGACAGATGGAGCAACCACAGACCCTGAGGGAACATTCAGAATAAACAACAAGATAGTACTCCCTGTTAGTCTCTACAAAACAGCAGCTCATTTGAGTCATGGGCCGTGCCATGTCTCAACAGGAGGGATGGTGACAATAATAAATGAACATTTCCATACATACAACTACATTACATTTTCTAAAAACTTTTGTAGAGCCTGTGTAGTATGTTGCAGACACAATGCTCAAGGCAATGAGCGACCACAGAGAGGAAAGTTCCCTCCACCAACATACCCATTTCAACACATGCATATGGACTTAATCGAACTAACACCATGCCAAGGGTACAAATACTGTTTGGTAATGATATGTCCGTTTTCAAAGTGGGTTGAAATATTCCCAGCAAAACATGCAGACGCTATTACCGTAGCAAAAGCCATATGCAAGACAATAATACCAAACAGAGGTATTCCAGAGAAACTGTACAGTGATAATGGGTCTCATTTTGTAAATCAGGTTATTACCAAACTGTCCGAACATATGGGGATAACATTAAAAAACCATTGTGCATATCATCCACAGAGTGCAGGCTTAGTGGAAAGAACAAACGGAACAGTAAAGTTAAGACTAAGGAAAACAATGGAGGAAACAGGAAGACCATGGGTGGAATGTGTGTCTCTGGTAGAAACATGCATGAGAATCACGCCCACGGCAAAAGGGTTGTCTCCCTTTGAGATCATAACAGGAAGGCAATTCAGATTACCAATCACAGACGAGGTGAGGGAGGAGGATGATGCTGAGGCAGGGACTACATTAGCTGAATGGATGAGCAGACTCTTCAGAAGCAATGAGATAGCTCGAACAAATAACCTGCCAGACATTTCTACTCCCTTGCAGGACACTCGAGTGCAGACTGGTGACCAGGTCCTCGTGAAGGTGATTAAGAGGAAGCATTGGCACTGTCCACGGTGGGACGGTCCCTACACGGTACTGCTGACAACACCGACTGCACTAAAAATCGCCGAAAGAACTACGTGGATACATCAGAGCCACTGCAAAAAGATAATACCTCTCCAACTTAACGATGGATAAGTGGTGGAAGTCCGGCTACAAAGGGCGGTGTTTCATTAGGAAATACTGGTCTCAACCCCGGTGAAGAAAACAACAGAACCACTATCACAAATAGACTATGTTGGGAAAGGTGTTGTTTGTAGTGACCCTGCTGGGTCTGACGCTAATGACTATAAGACAATTGAGTGAGGAATCCTCAACAAAAAAAAAGGTCCATCGAGAGAAAAAATGGTCATTACTCAACGATGACCCATGGAACCACAACGACAAAACTGCACGCTCACCTAGGATGACAAATGCCTGGTATGCCTATGTCCATCAACTTGTTACAAAGACAGGGCGTTCAAATTGTTATGTTTGTTCCCACATGCCATGGTCAACTGGACAAGTAACTCTGTATGGTAAAAGGATGAGTAAATCACAAGCTAAATGTTTTGCTACCATGGGAGGTGTAGGATACCAGCACTCAGGGATAAAAGTCAACGATGTGAATCCATATGCCCCAGGTTTAAGCAATGGCACTTGTAATAAGATATTTTGGGTGAACTTTAACATGACAGTGCCACGTAAAATGACAGGACAAAAGGTAGTCATGCCAAATAATGAAGCTATACACCCTATGTGTTACAGTCAGACAGAAGGTTCTGTACCAATGGGAAACACCACTGGTTGTAACCAGACACTTGTTAATGGCGAAGGGGCTCCAGTCTATTTGAGCAAACAATCTAATGGTACATGGTGGGTACAAGGAGGATGGTGGCTGTGTGGCAACAACGCTTATCCAGTTCTGCCAATAAATTGGACAGGCACGTGCGCACCAATATTTGTTAGCGACCACACCTTCGTGATAGACATAGAACCACACCTTAACCACACCCGCAGGAGGAGAAATGCCATGCCTGCCTTCAAAAAACATGATTCAGTATGGGGAAAAGATGTCCCTGATGAATTCAAACACTGGTCCACCAGTGGAAAGGTAATATTAGCATTGACTCCTGCCTTAGGCGTAGCGAAGAACATGTTGAGACTCGAAACCCTTGATTACCGGTTCGGCATGTTTGTAAATAATTCCATCGTTGTAAACGAACAACAGAACCTCGAACTAGACTCACTCAGAACCATGGTGCTACAGCACCGCATGGCCCTTGATCTACTCACTGCCTCAGTAGGAGGTACGTGTATCCTTTTGAACACAATCTGTTGTACATATATCACCGACAATGTCCACTCCCAAAACATGACAGATGCAATGGCTACTCTCAAAGCCCTACAGACAGCTATGGGCCAAGACAGACATGCCTCTCTTGAGACCGGATGGTTCAATTGGCTACTCTCAGGGAGCTGGGTTCAAAAGCTCGTGATGGGATTTGTTGCAATCATATGTGTTGTCATCCTTGTGTGCTGTGCTATGGCTTGTATTATACCATGTGTTAAAGCTATGGTTGGTAAAATAGTTACCAACACTCTTGTCCAATATACGATGTTGCAACAGACAGATAACGATGACTATACTGACACAGACCCCTCTCAGAAGGACGAATATACTCACCTAACCTCCAATGTGTAAGACTTAAAGCTAGGTTACTGTCTGTCATATGACGAATGGTTCGAAAATGTCAAAAACAAGTGAATTAATTCTGAAAGTAATAAAGACACTGTAACCAGCTAGTAATTATGAAAACAGGAGGGAATGTTAGAGTTTATTGAAGGATAAACGTGTTTTCATAATATGTTGTCATTTTATGTTGTAAAGAGACCATAGTCAGAAAAGAGGAACAGAGAATAGTCTGTTCCCCTTTTCTGTGGACCATACACACACACACACACATGATTGCGAGTCACAAGACAATTGACAAATTGTCAATTGCCATTGACAAATAAAGCCGTTGGTTACATACACTTCGTCATGCATGATTTGTAACTGTATTTTTGTAATAAAGAGACTGCACTGAGAGAAGAGGAGCAGAGTTGGTTTTGGAGTTGACATGACCTGTCACTCGCTGATTCTCCTTGCAGCAAGTAAACTTGAAACTCGAGTACTGTTATCTTTGTTCACTGGGTTTTGGTATATTTGAACCGAGCTGGGGTTTACTCTTACAAAGTAATATAGAAATACCCAACATTAATTGCTGTGAAACACTTTGGGCTGCAATTATTGTAGGAAAGGTGTTTTATAAATATAAGGGTTATTATTATAATATAATACGCACGGGACAGGAACTTGCCTCGCAGCTGCACACGCCTGGGGCAGAGTACATCCTGAATCGAGACAAAACTTGCTCGAGTCAAAGTCAGATCCTCCATGTAAGTCCAGTTAGAGTCTGAGTCCATCAGTGCGCGAGTCCTAGTCAAGTCACGAGTCACGAAAATCGTGTCACAATCGAGTCACACTGTAGTACGAGTCCAGGAATCGAGTACTCTAAGTCTGTCAGAGACACATCTCTAATGTTAGGCCCACTGCTGCTAATCCGGGGTTAATCCCTCCAATTCTATTTCACCTCCTCTTCCTCTCTTAAAAAACTGGCTAGATTGTTTGGTTACTGGCAGATAATGAAGCCAAAAGGTAGAAAAGTGCGAGGTCCGTTTGCCTTCATTTCACATTTTGAACACAATACCTTCACAAATTAAAAATATTAACCCTGACTCTTATGGTGTGTATACAATAAACTGTTAACCTAATTTTGATCATAATGGCTAAGAGTTCTACTGTTTATGTTTTGTTGGCAGTATGAGTTATGTATTAGACCTCAGAGAGGGATGGAGTTGCAGGGCAGGAGGACATCATTGGTACAGGTTCCCTGGAATAAAACAGTTCCGATGTTTCTGTGGTGCTGTGTGGATGGTGCTCTCACCTTCACCCATATTGATGGCTCTTTGGATCACCTCTTTGAAGAGACCTGGTTCTTTCTCCCAGCCCCCAGCTTGAACCTTGCAGTGGTGGGCTTTGGACAAGAACTGTAGAGCCTGAGAAACCACACAATAACAACGTTGTATTATTAATGGCTAAGCAGAAGTCTAATTCAGTCATCGCTTGAGCTCGTTTTTCATTTCTATTGTGATTGGTACAGCTGCAAACTATGATTCACGTACCATGATGAAACAACATGTTTGTAACATTTCATCTTATCAAATTGATTCAATCATCACAGGGCAATGTTAGAAATTGCATGCGTGTCACACTCCTGTCCACAAGAGACACTAAGCAGAGAAGCATGGTGCAGTTCCTCTCAGGCTTTAAAAAGAGGCCTGGATGAAGTCTGCCTCCTCTTTGAAGGCTTCTCAATACTCTAATTCCCCCTCCTCGACTCCTCGGTCCTCCGGTAGTGACCCGGAAATGGATTTCAGCGCGCCATGTTGAAGGACATCTCATTTCTCTAAATGCACATCGAGGACCGAGCATCGAGCATCGAGGAGGCTCTCTGGAGGAGCTATAACCGAGGATACACTGATGGTTCCTCCGCGGCTCCTCCGCGGATGTATTTCCGGCAACAGTGATGTTTCAAAGATTCGTGACGCACGGCCGGACTTATCTCAGCCAATGACAGCTCTGCATGCATCCCCTGGATATTATCTTATTAACTGCTTTCATCGCGACGCGATGTTTACAGAGAGAACAGTTGTGAGGTCCGTGCAGAAAGATGTCGTGCAGTGTGTATGGGGGGGATATATCCAGTCTCTGATTGTGTTACGTTATTATGAGTGCTCTCATACTTGTTTGATTCTGAAATTGTATATATATGTATAATTAATGCTGTCAAAATTATCGCGTTAACGGCGGTAATTAATTTTTGAATGAATTGCGTTAAAATATTTAACGCATTTAACGCATGTGCAGAATGGCCCGCCCCATACATCCCACCAGTTGCAGACAGAGTCGGTCTCCGTGTGCACAGACAGGGCTGCTGTTAACGTCGGTCTGTACAACGGAATTGTGCCAAAACTACGCCAACCGGCTGCGGAGAGAGACTCCCCCCCCTTCACTGGAGAACTGCGCTAAAACAGCTGATCCCAACGTTCACACTCTGTGGTCACGAAGTACTCCACTCGCCGCCCCCCCGACTTTCCTGAAGTACTCCCCCGTTGATAGAAATCAACACGTAATGAATTAAGACCCCACGGTTTGATGATTGATAGGTGTGTGTGCTGTCTTTCATTTTGACACGCAGAATTTTTTTATAATAAACATACCATATCCGCCTTCTTTCATTTATCTTTCCATTCCCACAACAATATACATAAAGAAATAACATTTTGGACATAGTTCGAATGGTGATTCATCATGATTAATTAATTTTTAAGCTGTGATTAATCTGATTAAAAATTGTAATCGTTTGACAGCCCTAATATAAATATATGTGTGTGTGTGTGTGTGTGTCCCCGCATCTGTAGCCTGTTATTGTCTCATTATACCGCACTGTGAATGACTTAAAAGTAAATATATAAGTCATCATGAACACAGCAGTGTTTCCCCTATATACAAATAGTGGTGGCGCAGCGCCACTGCTGAAATATGCGCGCCGCTGCTAGGGGGCGCCAGCCAGGTACCCATAAAAAAAAATATATATATATATTTTTTTTTTTTTACTTTTCATTTTTGGCACCGCTGCTATGACTCCATCCTATGGGAAACACTGCACAGTTATGTCCACCAGACAGAGTGCTACTGTGCCTCCTGTCATCATTAATGGACGTCTCTTTAAAATGACCGCTCAGAGGAGAGGAGTTCTCATTTCTCTAACCGCCTGCTGCTTCCCCTCCTCTCTCCTCGGTTCCCGTCCTCGACTCCTCCGCTCGCATCTCCGGTGGGCGGGACTAAGTCACGAGGAAAGGCGTCGAGGAGGGGAATTAGAGAAATGAGAAGCCTTCTTTGTCTCCAAACACCACACCAGGATTGAGTGTTTAGTAGCCGTTCGTCTTTTGATACCTTAAATATAGGTAGTATTTTCTTCGTATTTTGGATTGTTATTTACAATAAAAGTAAATGTTAACTTTATTGTTAAAATATAAGTATCTTTAAATGCTGGAGTTATGTTTGTTTGGGCAAATTGCTGTTATTCAGGTTTCTCCCCAATTTTTACTAGAAACATTGGCAACAGCAACCATCTTTACAGACAACTGAACAATATTCCTGACAAATAAAACAACTGCAAATTGCAACTCTTGTTTCCTGGTGGTTTGTGGCTCCAGTTTTGAACTTTTTACCTCAACAGTCAACATATTATGAATAGTGATATTGTTGATACCAACCTTGTCGTTGTCCTCTGGGCTGGAGCTGTGTCCGTCTCCGTACAGCCGAGCGTACTGCTGCCACACCTCACTGTCGCTGCAGTGGCGGGCGCTGACCCGGCCCAGGAGCTCCTTCAGTTTGGAGCGGAGAGTTTCTGCCTGCTGCCCCTGGAAGTCAATCAGGTTCTCAACTACTGCTCGAACCAGGATCTTCAGAATCTGCAAAATGATTCAATGTCAACGTCAGATTTGTTTCCGAAGATTAATGACAATTCATAAAGTCGAAACATCATAATAAGTGATGTCATGGGTTTGCATTAAATTCCACATGCAAACCTTTATTGCTGTACATTAAAAGCAGCATTTCTCAGCACTACCAGAAACCAATGAAGGAACAGCTGGATGGAAAGAAGCTGGCTTTATGGGGAATGTGGTTTTAATTGGAGATGTCCCGATCCGATCACGTGATCGGGGATCGGAGCCTATCACGTGATTTTCAAAAGATTGGAATCGGGAGGAAAAAAATCGGGATCGGTAATTTCTTTAATTTTTTTTTTATAAAATATTTTTATTATTTTATTTAATGTTACAAAACAAATATGACCATCTTAAAGTCATCCTGAGGACTTAGTTTTGGTTTAAAATTACACAACATCATGTATGTGTTGCTTCTTTTGGGCTTGTTTTCAGACCTGGTTATTCCTCTCAAATCTGGCAACAGAGTGGGCGCAGTGTCTAATAGTAGCAGTAAGCTAACGAGAGGCTACGTTCAGCTGGTGACTCGGGAGTCGGGACAGAGAAAATGTCAGGAGTTTGGAAGTATTATAAAATTGAAAGCGAAGGCAGTGTAACAGCCAGATGCAATGTTTGCAAGGCGGAGGTTCCGCGTGGTGGAAAGAACAGAGCTACGTTCAACACGACCAATCTAATACGCCACCTGAGAAACAAACACCAACACGACGAGTACACAGCGGCCACTCAGGTAACGGCACTGAAACAACCGACACTTTTGAGAAACTGCCCCAGAACAGTGAAAAGGCCAAAAAAATAACAGCCAAGATAGCTGAATTCATCGCGTTGGATGACCAGCCGTTATCTGTTACCTTTTTTTTCTCTTAATGCATTGCATAAAGATCGGGAAAAATCGGTATCGGCAGATTGTCAAAATCAAATGATCGGAATCGGATTGGGAGCAAAAAAAGGTGATCGGGACATCCCTAGTTTTAATTTTCACAAACACGTGCACTCATGATGCATGGCATCGGCATGAGGCTGCACATTATCACCCTGCTTTATGGTTATTGTGCAAATCTGCCATAGTCATCTACTAATGATACAATTGTGTTGAGAGTAGGGATGCTCCGATCGATCGGTCACCGAGAGCCGATCGCATGACGTAAAATACATGACACTTTTCTCTGTGTGCGCCAAAACAAGCTCGCCAAAATGGCTTCACCGGTTTGGCATTATTTTAAGGTGTCCGAAAAAGACAGTAAAATAGCGGTATGCAACGTGTGTGAAGCAGAAATCCTGCAGCTCCGCCCGCCGGACCGGGTAAGCGCAGCGAAACACACACACACAGGGAGAACCAGACCGCAGTTCATTTCCTCATATTCCAAACGAGAAATTACGGTAGCAAATCACCCGGTTCTTTACGACCAGAACTATTAACGGGATACAAACCGGAGGAACCAGGCATGGAGGGAGGGTGGCAGAGACAGTGGGGTGAAACTGGTAAGTTTTCGCCTGTTTGGGGAGTTTATATATATATATATATTGCTCGCATAAAATCCCCGGGGTTTTTTGCTTTGTATGTCGGGGGCGGGAGATTCATGTGATTGGTTGTTGGTCGCATTGCTCGCAAAAAAATCCCAAGCTTTCAGACACGCCCAGCTCCAAGATTTTCAAGATTTTTGAAAAGCTGCTGTGTGGACGTACCGTAAGAGTTAGACCTAACACACTCAGCTATTTTATCTACCTCTGGAACAAGCTAAACTAGTTATTATAAATATATTTATTCTTCATTGTCGGGTCACTCATTACTGGATCAGTGAGCTGCATGAGATACTGACAGGCTGTCAGGAGAGGGAGAGAGGGGGGAGAGAGAGGGAGAGAGGAAAAGAGAGCGCTTCTGCTAATTGCTCCCGTGTTATTATCCAAAGTGAATGTAAACTTGAATAATGTACATCATTTGAATGTAATAATTAAGTTGATTGTTGTTTGTGGAAGCTCCAGTGAATTCTTTATAGTACACCATCTAAACTCCTAAATAAACTCCAGTATCAATATTCGAAGGTTTAATGTCATAACACATGGTGTAGTTGTGTAATGTATGAAAAACTTAGATCGCAGGTTTCTCAACCATACAATTACAAGACATAAAGAAATATATATTTAAAAAATAGTGCAAGCTCACGTGTTAAATAGACTGTGGGATGAAACTGTCCCTGAGTCTGGTGGTTTTTGTCCTGATGCCATCAGGTTTGGATGTCTCTCCGGCTCTCCACATTCTGGTCGTGAACCGGCGACCCTTGGTTCCCAAGCCAAGTCCCTAGAGACTGAGCTACTGCTGCCCAGATAGTCAAACCCCTTAAAGTGTGCATCACTAGTTATTATCTCGCTACATTGCAGTTTTTATTTTTAGTGTCTTAGTATTTTGCAATCAGAGAAAGACAAAGGTATGGGTGCAAAGACCAACACATGCAATTATAATCTCTGCCTCCGTGTCTCCACTGTCAGGATGTTTTGATGTGACACTTCCTGTGATGAGTGAGATTTAATCCTGAAATAGAAGTTTGTTTGATGTATTCCCCTCCCCTGTCCATCACTGTGAGGAAAAGTGACTTATTTAGATGAAAACTGAATTGATGACTTATTCAGATTCCTGCTGGATCCAGTCAAAGTGTGAAATTGAGTGGAAAAGTAATAACCTCTCTGTTGAGAGAAATGAAGAAAAATACAAAGCCAGGCTAGAATTTTCTATGGAGCTCATATTGAAGTTTACTTATAGATCACAACAATAGAATAGGGGGAAAGGGGACCTTTTATTCTCAGGGGCTTCTGTGTGAAAATGTGTGTGACTGTAAGGTTCTTGCGTATCCCTTTTAAACCCACGAGGCATAAAGCTGAGGCATGTGACCCTCAGCTCCTCTGAAATCTATCAGCTTCTCAAAGCACTTCTGTCATCAGCCCTCTACACATTCCATAGAGAGGAATTCATGGTGGGCCTGTCATCATCGTCCCAACCCTCACTCTTAGCTCTGGACTGAAAAACTACCAAAGGGAAGAAAAATATTAAAAGAATAGGACATGTTGCTTCTAAAAATTATCCGATTATGCCGTTAGAGGATTCTTTGTTTCACGGCTATTTATGCAAAAATACCTTTCAAAAAGGTGTTGAGATGGATACAAAAATAACCCTATAAAAATTTGAAGAAAAGAGATTCTTTAATGTGACGTTTTGAGGAGAGATTCTGACAGCTTTGTTTCTCTGTGGATGGCAGGGGAGAGGGGTGGAGGTTTGTTTAATCACAACTTTGTGTTTGTTCCAGTGCTGAAAGACATTTAAAACAGTTTCCTCTGTCAGGCCAACTGACCATCAATGGTCAGCTTTGAAAATGTCAGAATGTGGGCTTGTGTGCATTTTGAAAAATTACATCTGGCAAACAATTATGTTATAATTATAAATAAAATAAAAAATCTTTGATAGAAAAATTATTCATCAGTTGGCACAGGAATGACGTGAATTCAAGGACTTGATAAACAGGATGCATTTAACCCACTAGTGAGCTGACAGAGGAAGGAGATGTTGGTTGGTCCATCTAAGTGATTTATCATCCAAATTAATCTAATTAGTTCCCTAAGCTGCAGATTTGCTTGGCAAAGTTCACAAAGTTGAATGATTTGGCAGTTTTCCTCAGTCCTGCCAGCAGGTCCACCGATGGTAAATCCATTAAAGTGAACTGTTTTGCTCTGAGGTTCCACTCCTCTAAAGGTTGTGACCATGCTGAGGCACGGTTTGGACATTGTGTAATTTTTACATTTCTTTGTTGAAGGAGGAGATTTAAAAATTAAGAGGAAAACAGAGCAAAGTTACATTCCATTTACCAAATTCAACCTATTTTTTTTCTTGTAGTATAACTGATGTGACTAATGGCAGCACAGCCAGTATTAATAAACATGCTGGGTGAAAAGACAGAAACGGGAACAGAACAAAAGAAAGTCACCTAGTTTTAAATAATGTGCCATTACCCTCTAAAAAGTGAATTTAGGTAGTTTGGGTAATTCCCTAAAAACACAGGATGTATTTCTGAGTCACAGCTGTGAATTCCTCCAGTCCCACTGAGCTGAAGGACGACATCTTTAAAGTTAATTGTCAAAAACTGAAATTAAAACAGGGCTGAGGCAGATAATTAATAACAGTGAAATCCTACCACTGGCTGTCTTTATTTGTTTATTCAAAGCTGAGGATTTGTTGTTCTTCTTAGATTGTCTTGGTGGGTGTTGCAAATTAAGCCTTTTCCTTCATTTTTGTTAATTACTCAGCATAAATGGCAAAAATAAGTAAGAATTTATCACTACAGGAAATAAACTGTAAAAGCAAACTGTTTAAATGCTGAGTGTATCATGTGACCCGAGAAGAAGAAATGTAAAATGCAATTATTTTGTTTTGTTTTATCTTGTATATTGCAGTGGCGAACTGTCAGGGCCTTCAAGGTATTCAGAGAATACCCTGGAACACTCAGATAAAACAAACAAAAAATCGATTTAATTATATAAATAAAATATAATAAAATGTATATAAAATGAATAAATGAGAATCGTATCTGTGTTGTTGATCTGTAATATTACAGTGTTACGCTGATTTGTTTGTCCTTCTCGGACGCATTTCAGTGGTTTTGTGTTAGAAAGAAAAGCAACCAATCAGATCTTGTTCTGGGTAGAATATCCTTCAACCAAGGTATTCTACATCCTTGATCGAATGCCCTGGCCGTTGCACTGAATGAGAGCGTACGTTTGGACTGACAGTTTGATCAACCAATCATATATTGATTTGTAGCCAATGGGCGTATTCTTTCAGAGTTTCCCTCGGTTCCAGGGTCCTCTAGAAGGCCCGCTAGTTAAACTGGCTCGAGACAGAGGATCTAGATCAGGGGGGCCCACACTTTTTTTGGCTGGTGAGCTACTTTTGAAATGACCAGCTCACCGAGGTCTACCAACCAAACATAAAATCCCAAATTGCAAGGGTTGCTGAATAACACGTTTTATTTATACATGGGATAACTACAATAGGGCCTGCAACAAACGACTAATTTGATAATCGATTAATCTATCGATTATTGAAACGATTAATCGACTATTCCTGTATGCCTTGCACAATTTCTCAAGCGCTCTTATTTAGCCATTAACTTTTAGATGTAGCTTGAGGTTGTTTTAGGCATGTGGTAACTAACAATGAAGACAATAAAGATGAATACTTGATTCAAAAATACATATATTATTAAATTAACCTAACAAATTGTGAACAAAATTAACATTGCTTTTTATTTAAATAAAATAAATAATATTTCACATCAAAAGAAACAACAATGTTTTAAGAAATCGTATTAAATAATCTGATGACAGAACTGTAAACAGAATAGCTGAAACTTTAACAAAATAAATAACTCAGTTACCTCTAATCATTAACCCATGTTTGTATCATGTAGTTAACTCCGTGTGTTGCTGCTAGCATACATAATAAGACCTGACGTGGAAACGTTACTCGTGGATGGGCTACAGAGCTGCTAGAAAGACAGTCGAGCCCGGTGCATTTCTCCGTCTGAATGTGGTGCACTTTTGATAAATGTTTAGACAAATTGCTCGTGTTACCGCCCTCACATGCTAAACACTCTTGGCAAGGAGCATTGTTCACCTCAAACGAGTAACATTTAACCACACGTTGGAGCGCTTCTCTCCGCCATCCCCGCCGTGTGTGCTGCTTGTAGCAGCTGCGTGTGTAACTGCCCCGCCCCCTCGCACACAGACGGGGGAGAGAGAGATCTCGTCTCGATTGGAAAGATAAAAAATACACCGACCATAGACGCATTTGTTTGTCTTTTTGCATGTTAGAAACGAGTTGGCGACACTAAGACTGCGAGATCATATTTGTGTAGCAATAATACATGACCTTTCTCAACTCGCTACTCGGAGGGAAGTCGCTGTCATATGCCTTGTGAACACTCCGATAATGCCTCTCCACGTTACCTTTCTTTGGCAGAGCGACGCTTGCTTTACAAATAATAACCTTTGAATGTGACATCACAAACAAATATTCTTCCTCCCATTCTGTGTGGAAGTGGTATGTCTTTAGCTTTTTGCTCGGCCCCCGCACTCATTATGTGTTTGTTCTTGTCTCTTTAACTTAATTTGAGTTTTCCCGGCACTTGACTGATTTTGTATCGCTTTGCATTCTGGGTTAACAGACTGGAAGCGATAGGTCGCCTTTTCTGTCAATCAAGTAAACTCCTGAATTAAGTGGCAGGGAAGGCCAAGGGAGGATGGGATCAAAAGCTGTTTTGTCTATTTTAACGGAGCTGGATTTTTTTTTTATGAATGACTCGCGATCTACCAGCATTGCCCGGTCGACGTACTGGGCACCTCTGATCTAGATGAATGTGACGAAGCAATTCATGCCGTTTTATTGTTTTTAACGTTGAAATACAAGTGCAACGGTGAAGATGAAGGTTGTTGCGGAATTGTTGTGAGTACCCTTTTCAAGACGACAATTCAGTGAAAAAGACGGACATTATAATGCCGCGGAGGGGGGGGGGGCTCTGCACTTTCCCTCCACACCTCATACCTCGAAGACCGCACCTACAGGGTAACTTGGAGAGGGTCAGATTATGAACCTTGTCAATTAACTACGGGGGTCCCTCAGGGCTCTTTCCTTGGTCCCCTCCTCTTCTCTCTGTACACAAACTCGCTCGGATCGGTCATTAGCCCGCATGGTTTTCATACCATTGCTACGCTGACGACACCCAATTAATTCTGTCTTTTCCCCGTTCTGAAACCCAGGTCGTTGCACGCGTCTCTGCTTGTCTAGCAGACATCTCCCAGTGGATGTCTGCTCACCACTGTCAAGGTTGAGCTTGAGCTCAACCTTGACAAGACTGAACTGCTTTTTCTTCCGGGAAAATAGTGTCCCACTCTTGACCTAACAATCAACATTGGCCCTTCTGTTTGTTTCCCTGACTCAGACTGCAAGGAATCTGGGTGTGACCCTAGATAACAACCTGTCCTTCACTGCAAACATAGCTGCTACAACCCGCTGCTGCAGATACACGCTTTACAACATCAAGAGGATACCAGAAAGCGACAACAACTTCTGGTCCAGGCTCTTGTCTTCTCACGCCTAGACTACTGCAACTCCTCCTGGCTGGTCTACCTGGCCAGTGCCGGAGTCCGACCGCTGCAGCTCATCCAGAATGAGCGGCTCGTCTGGTCTTCAACTTTCACTAAATGTTCCCACACCACACCGCTCCTCCGCTCTCTTCACGGGCTTCCAGTAACTGCTAGAATCCACTTCAAGACACTGGTACTAGCGTACCATGCTGCGAATGGATCTGACCCTTTCCACATCCAGGACATGGTTAAACACCGTACACCCCAGCATGTGAACTCCACTCTGCATCAGCCAAACGGCTCGCTGCACCAGCACTGCGAGGGGGACCCAAGTTCCCATCCGCAAAACTACGTCGGTTTGCTATCCTGGCTCCAAAATGGTGGGATGACTCCCCATTGTCATCAGGACAGCAGAAAGGCCTACACATCTATCTCACGGCGCAGACTAAAAACTCACCTCTTTCGACTCCACTTCGAGCAATAAAATGCACTACAAAGCACTTATATACTAATAAAGGACTGGCTTATCTAATAGCTAGTTGAGTAGCACTTCAATGTTTTGGCTCTATGAAAGCTGATGTACTTATATGATTCTGTTTTCTTCAAGGTTGTAAACTTGAAGAAAACAAGTTTACAAACTTGGTCGAATGCACTTATTGTAAGTCGCTTTAGATAAAAGCGTCAGCTAAATGCAATGTAATGTAAAAGTGCAGTTCTTTACCTCAGTGTCCTTGTAGTTTTCCCGGAGGTCCATCAGGCGGTGGTAGGCACGGATAGTTTCGGAAAACTCCCCGATGTCAGTGCTCACCATGATGAAGTTCTCCCAGATCTGCCAGTGCTCGTAGTTGCACCTCAGAGCTTCCTTCAGGGTGCGGAATGCTTTCTCTCTACAATGAAGCGACATGAAGAGGCAGACGAAAAAGAAGAGGAAAGGAAGAAGTTAGCAGTGAAACTAACAAATAGATTTTTGGTGAAGGAAAGACTGATGAGATACAAAGCTGCTGCAAGACGCACAAACACGTCAAAAATGTAGAAAGTGCATCTGCTGAAGTAGCAGCAGTGCTAACCGCTTGGCTTTTCAATTTCAGGCCTGAAAACTCATGAGTCTGAAGCGAACAAAGACTCGGAGATACTCTGGGTTCACAAGATACCTCTGTACCCCAAAAAGGCAGAGGACAAGGAACAACAAACAGAATCTGATCTGTGCGCTGCCAGAGCCATACAGAACTCCGGTTCAAATAAAGATAAACCATTTGAATCGTACATACCAGTGATTTGAAACCTTCATTGGTTTTATTTATTAAATTATTGCTGTGTGATCTGTAATCGAGCCAACGCTGCAACAAGATGTATTTTAACAATTTTGCCATCAAATACATTTCTGTACTGTTCTGACAATTTGCCGTGTTTCTTTATAAGCTTGTTTTATTTATGTGTAACCAAGTCATCATGTTTATGTGCTATAAATGTAAAAAAAAAAATTGCATTATTTTTCTTTCGAAAAAATTACCACTTTCAAATGTCCCTGATCCTTTGCTCCATCACGACTAATCTTGAATACTAATAAGAAATTTACATTAAGTTTGCTGTGGCTAAATACTTTGCTATATTGCTTATTAAACAAAACTCATTCTATGCATAGTCATACTCACTTGTTGTTGAGGCGAATGTAGGCTGAAGAGAGGTTGTTCCATGCTTCAGGATTCTGGAGAGGGGATGGAGAAAAGAGATGAGTCGAAAATGGCAAATAACCACAGAATTACGCACAGAGGCTGACAGAGAAGGTGTAAAGTATGACTGTTGGTATTGCTGAGTAGTGTGTGTTTTTGTTCCGTTTTGTCCACGCACTACTCTTTCACTAATGATTTAGTAAATAATAGTCAGCGTGTGTAGGTACTTACATCTGGCTCCAGTGTCACACACCTCTTGAAGGCCTTGGCAGCTCCCTCATAACCCTGCAGGGCTATGTAAGCACAGCCGAGAGAAAACCACACACCGAGCTACGCACACGCACACACACACACACACACACACCACACACACGTCACAAATGGGGTAAAGCATTACAAGTAGGGCTGAACGATTTTAAATCGAAATCGCGATTTTAAATGATGCAATTATCAAATCGCAAAGCCTGCGTCTTTTAAAAAAAATATTTTTTGTTTTGTTCTTCTTGTGTGTCAGTCCTCCACACCAATCAGAAGTACTGTGCTCCACATGTACCAGTCATTGTTAACCAATCAGAAGTGGCCCATGATATTAGGTGATAGACAGATTGATCCAATCACCTGCCAAGTATTTTCGAAAAACTTTTCCAAATGGCTTCCAATGGAGCTTTCCTAGATGGTTTGGTGAAACAAACCATCTAGTCAGGTTAGTAATGCTCCATCACATGTTTTACATATATTACAGGGTGAATCTTAAACTGAAGCTTGACTTTAAGGCGAGACACGGCAGGCAAAACATCGTTTTTCAAGTACTGGTCAATTTTGAGATTTTGTGCTATTTTGATTCCATAACATGTTTTCTTTCAGGCTTTTGGAAGGAAAACGTACAAAATACACATTTAAGTGTTTATTTTACTATAGTTTGTCTATTTGCGTCTGTAGATTTCTCCTAAATTCACCAAAAGTTAGCATTCTAACGTAACATAAAGTACCGCGACCGCTGTGTGCACCATGTCAACAGAGGTATCGCTGGAAAGCTGTGTCTCTCCTGCACAATCTCATCGGATCCAAATATGGTCATTTCCTTTGTATCAGCAACCAATCGTGAAAGCACAAAGGGGTCTTAAACCAAGAAACAAAATCTCATTGGCTGGTGTACATTTCTGACAACGTGATTCGTTCAGATGCGTCACGTGGTGTGCTAAAACACTTCCTGGTTAGCTTTCAGCTAGAAATTGAAATCTCAAAATGCCAAAAGAACGGCGAAAAAAATGTTCACAGAGAAGACGACAACAATTGTCACTTGCACGAAGCAAGGTTATAATACAAAAAAATGACCCTGAACATGAAATACCTTCACGGAGTGCGTCGATGCGCAAGCTGTCATCCAAAGAACAGGAGGGTTTAGCTAGCTGCAATCTTTAAAGGTCGTTTTCTCAAAATGAGTTTTTTCTCCTACTCTGAGTTCGAAATTTCAACTTCAGTAGCACGTACATACACCAAACCTTCCAGTTATATTCCTATCAATATTATGAAGGCTTTTACAGAAGGGTTTGTTCATATATAATTCATAGCCTGAATTATACAACATTGTATACCTAAAAACATGGCGAAAATGGATATTTTAGGGCTAATGACAGTATTTTCTGATTTATGGAGTGATAAAAAGAGATATCCAATATCCCTTCTGTAAAAGCCTTAGATACTAATATGACTACAAAATGAAACAATAATTTTGAATCTGGCTATATCCAAAGTTCAGATTTCGATTCCTGAAATGTGTTAAAATATGTGCATATTTAATGAGATAATGGATAATTTGCATATTTAAACATGCTATTTCAGAAAACTTGTAATACAAAAGACAATTGCCTTATTGTAAGTAATTAACTGGAGAAATTTCTAGCTGATACCTTTAAGTTAAAAAAATTACCCTATTCACCTGGGGTGTCTCGCCTTAAAGCAACCCAACGGAAGTTTCATGTAAGTTTAGTTATTTCACTCGTAGCTCGGGCTGCGGGGGTGCTAGAGACGGGAGCACGTTGATACGACCTACCTAGTTGGCCGCATTTTACAATAAACTTCCGTTGGGTCGCTTAAAAACAAATATCGCAAATCGAATCGCAATCGCAATATCTGTCAGAAAGATCGCAAATAGATTATTTCCCCAAATTGTGCAGCCTTAATTACAAGTGTATCCATTAGGGCAGTGCTTCTCAAAGTGTGGTCCGCGGACCACTGGTGGTCCGTAAGTGCCCCCTAGTGGTCCGTGAGTATATTGGTAACATTTGAAATAAATAAATAAATACATTTAAGATTTCCGCACTATCGTGGGAATATCTCCGCAATGGAGCGCGCTAAAGTTTCACGTTCGATTGCATGATATAGCCCAGCGCAAGACCTTCATCACACTTGCTGCCACGTGTTTGTACCATTTTCAGGCAATTTGTAATCTGTTCTAGAAAAACGATGCGATTTTGGATATTTGTGGAGTTAAGTGGTCCGCGAGTGTTTTTGTATTGGTTAAGTGGTCCTTGGTGTGAAAAAGTTTGAGAAACACTGCATTAGGGGTATAACGGTATACGTACGGAAATTATTCGGTACGGGCCCTTCGCTTCGGTACACACCTGTACCGAAGTGTACCGAACGAATATAACGTTAAACGTAAAAAATTGAGAACGTGAACAACTTTTTGGAAGTAATCTCAGGTGCTGCGTCGCAGCATTCAGAGTAATTTGCTCACATTGGGTTCAACGCGTCATAGAGCGAGCAAGTCATTTCATTGGACGAGAGGCATACTATGAGAGCTGGTCAGAGGGATGCGTTCAAATTTAGTCAGTAATTTGAGGAACTGGCGAAATGGCGAACGCAGATAAAGTTGAGCTCGAAAATCCTCCAGCATCATTGAAGTCTCCGGTTTGGGAACATTTTGGTTTCGCAGTTACGTACAAGATGACGGACAAAGACAGGTGGACCGAACCAAAGCTGTTTGTCGGCATTGTTCAACTAAAATTGGTTACGCGGCTGGCAATACATCAAACTTGCACACTCATTTGAAAAGGCATCACCTGAACGTGAATATCACCGGTACCAAAAGAAAAAATACTGAAGTGCAAACCCAACTCCCACTAGCATTTAAGCCTCCACCACTCGCAAAAAGTTCAGACCGAGCCAAAGCTATTACAAATGCCAAATATCCTTATGTTGCCATGTTAGCAAAGCGCTACCTGGCTGTATCTGCTACCTCTGTCCCTAGCGAGAGGGTGTTCTCCACAGCAGAGACATTGTTAGTACCAGCAGATCTGCCCTTTCAGCAAGCAATGTGGACAAGTTAATTTTTCTTTAAAAAAAACATGAAAATACAATGACAAGCAAGTCATAATTTCAAACTGGCTGCTTAGGTACTAGTACAGTACAGTTCAAATACAGATTATTTCAGTTAATCGAAATGCTGCACTTTAATGTTATTTTATTATATTTTGTATGTATTTGAGTGAATACATTATTCACAGTTTAATAATAATAAAATAAATAAATAAAAAGATTTTATGTTTTGTGATAATTTTTCTGTACCGAAGACGTACCGTACCTAAAAACCGAGGTACGTACCGAACCGAAATGTTTGTGAACCGTTACACCCCTAGTATCCATGTATAAAATCTATGCATACTGTATGTTCCATAAAAGATGTGTGTTAGCAAAAGAAACAGATTGATAAAATCTCACATTTATTCAATGACTCAATTTATCTCAGTAGTTGGTCCGCTCTCTGTGGAAACAGCAGCTAAATCTTCCATCCCTGTGATAATAGCAGCTAGAGTAAAACGATAGTTACGTCTGTAACTACGGTTCAATGAGTCCCGGATGACCGTCAGAGGCGGTGCTTTAGCATTGGATATGTCCATCGCACAGCTCGAGTACCAATAACAACAAAGTCACACGTAACACCAGCTATATATGCCGGTGTCGTCAGAGGATCTGTTCCCAGAATCGAGCACACAAGAATTCTGAGTGACAGGATACTCTGGCGGTCATCCGGGACTCATAGAACCGTAGTTACAGACGTAACTATCGTTCTATTTTGTCCCTACTGACCGCCAGAGGCGGTGCTTTAGCACTGGATGACTTATATCAACAATGTTATGAAGAATCCAAGCACTTACTTACCTAGCCGGAAGCAGCGGAGCTCGGCAACAGGACCACGCCCAAAGCGTGGGGAGTGACGTCATTGACCCGGTAGAACCTGGAGAATGTGCCAGAAGACTCCACGACGCCGATGGTCTCCAGGGGCACCCCTCTCAGGGCAGCCCAGGCTGTTGAGATGCTCCTCCTCGCATCTCACTCCTGATGGCGGGGGGCGGCCACTGACCCCATAGGCATGCGAGATGGCATCGACAACCCAGTGGGACAGCCGCTGTTTAGAGAGAGCACGACCCTTCCTAGTGCCGCCATGGCAAACGAAGAGCTGCTCTGACTGCCGTATACAGGTCGTAGCATCAATATACGCACTTAGGACACGCACGGGGCACAGCAACTCAGGCGTGCCGCTCTCCTGTGGAATGTTAAAGCGTGCCAGCTGGATAGGCCGACTGGAGTGGGCTAGTGGAAGCACCTTGGGCAGGAACGCCACATTCAGCCAGAGGGCAACACCCGAGACATCGGGGTTCCAACTCAGGCATGTATCGCTCACGGAGAGGGCATGTAGCTCTCCAACTCGCTTCCCTGAGGTTATAGCAAGCAGAAATGCCGCCTTCAAGGACAGCCACTTAAGCCCCACGTGGGCCAGGGGCTTGAAGGGAGGAGATGATAGGGCATCCAGCACTAGGGGCAGGTCCCAAGCCGGAGCCCTCGGGGTGCTAGGGGGACGCTGCCGTAAAAGCCAACCTGTGGTGCCCTCTACTCCAACATGTCGGGCAAAACTAGCAGCCATATAAACCAGCCATATAAACCACGGGTGACTGTGGCTGCAGTAAACATGTCGATGTATCCTTGGGCAAGATACTTAACCCTGAGTTGCTCCCGATGGCATGGCCAACGGTGTGTGTGTGTGTGAATGTTAGGTCCTCGAGTAAGATACACTGCTCTGTATGAATGGGTGTGAATGGGTGAATGACATGTAGTATGTAAAGCGCTTTGAGGGGTCTTAAAGACTGGATAAAGCGCTATATAAGTACAGTCCATTTACCATTTACCTTCAAAGTGGAGTGAGAACGTCCACTATCCAGAAGGGACTGCAGGAACTCTAGAATGGTGGCAACAGAGCAATGCCCCGGATTCTCAGCCTTACCCAAACACCAGTGGGAGAAGAGCTTCCATTTGCATTCATACTGTGCTCGAGTGGATGGTGCTCTGGCATTCAGGATAGTTTCCCTGACAGATGCCGTGAAAATGCTCAACAGCGGGTTGGGCCCCGCAGCTGAAGGCGGCGAGGGTCGGGATGCCAGATCTGACCCCTGAGCTGTGACAGACGGTCCTTCCGGTCTGGGAGACGCCATGGTGGGCTGCAGCAGAGACTGCGCAGCAGTGGAAACCAAACTCTCCCCGGCCAGCGGGGGGTGACCAGAAGGAGCCTGTGCCCCCCCTCTGAAGCGTCTGTAGTATCAGAGGCAGTGGCGGGAAGGCATACAGGAGACTGTCTGGCCAGTCGTGCGCCAGAGCGTCCTGACCCATCGGGCTGGTCACCTCTGCCCAGGAGAACCAGAGGGGGCAGTGCCTCGACTCTTCCGAGGCAAAGAGGTCCATCTGGGCCCTGCCGAAAAGGCTCCAAATTGTCTCCACCACCTCTGGATGAAGCCTCCACTAACCCGGTGAAGGCTTGTGCCGAGAGAGGAAATCTGCGACCTGATTCTGGTCTCCTGGTAGAAAGACTGCCCGCAGACTGGCCAGGCAGGGGAACGCCCAAGACAA